CACATTTCAAAGACCTGCTAAAAATAAACCTATACCCCATCCTTATGATGCATATAGACTTTAGACCAACCCACTAATGGGGCTCTTCTATCTTCAGAATTGCCACCAAAGAAAAATTCTACAAATTCCATCAATCTGTTTCAACACTTGTTTAGGAAGGACATAGTTACTTGCCCAAAAAGTTGGATACCAAATAACACACTCCTGATCAACTCCACTCTGCAAGCATAAGAAAGGTGTTTGTCGTGCCAAGCATGAATCTTCTTTGTGATATTCTCAATCAACTGATTACAATCAGTAGCAGTGAGTCCTCTAGATGCCATACGAACTCCAAGATATTTAATAGGAATTGAACCCACATTATAAGACAAGACTTTGGATAATTTACTCCATTGAATCCCTTTCTCCATAAAAAATTATAGCACTTTTTTTCAGGGCAAGCCATAAGCCCAGAGTTATTGTTAAAATATTGCAAACCTTGTGAAGTAAAGACACAGATTGTAAATCCCCTGTATTGAATACTACCAGCTGCAAATATGAGGCGGATAATTCTTGGCACATTTTGGTAATAATTAAATCTGCCCCTTCTTGTAATACTATTGAGATGCCAAGACAAATAAATAAAGAGATAGGGATCTCTTTGCCTTAAGCCCCTCTTGCCATGAAAGTATCCATGCAACACACTATAAAAATTTAGTGTGAAGGGCTAGTGACTCAAGCCATAATCCAAGAGACTACCCCGTTAGTAGAACAAATTCCAGTCCAGAGTGTGATATGTTTTCTTAATATCCACATTAATCACGCATCTAGGAGAAATATTATTCCTCCCATATTGCTTAGCTAGTTCATGCCCCAAAATGATATTACTGGCAACATTCTCCCTTTGACAAAAGCAGATTGTCCATCACTGATTTTAATCTATTAGCAATAATTTTGGCAATGATCTTATGGACAAAATTGCAGTAGCTTATAGGTCTGAGTTCTGCAGCAGTCCTAGGGCAAAGTGATGGTAGTAGAGTTTAATTGTCTACGCATCATACCTGTGGTAGAAAAAAATTCCCTGATGACAGCAGCAATGTCAAGACCAACAATGGGTCAATTGGTTCTGAAGAAAGAAGCGGAATATCCATCTTGTCCTGGAGCTTTGGACTCATCAATAAATAACATGGCTACAACTTCAGTATCAGGAACATATTTCTAATAGCAGCAATTGTCCAAGCATTCTTTTGATCCTCATTAAGCACATAACCATTGTGGATAGCACCTTAATCAGGTGAAATGAGAGAATTATTTGAAGACCCCATAAGCTTCTTATAAAAATTAATCATCTCCTCTGTAACATTCTCCTCAGTGATCCTGTTTCGCTGCTCATGATACAGTACTAAAACCTTGTTATAATGGCAGTTGATTTTTATAGCTTTGTGAAAGAAAGTGGTACATTTATCCCCTTCAAAATTCCATTGGATCCTTGATTTTTGCTTATAAAAACTCAGTTCATCCTCCAGAAGTTTAGTGTAATAAGTTCTCCATTCATAGGATTTTGCTGCGAATTATATTGAAATTTATCCAGTTTCTTTTTGGCCTTGACCACCCTCTCACTGATATTAGCATGACAATTTCTATTCAAGTTCTTCAACACCTCCTTAAGATGCTGTAATTTTTTAACGAGCTGGAACAATTTGCTTCCCCTAACAGGGTATCTCCACCCTTCTTCAACAATATTAAGAAATCTATCATGCTTAGCCCGCATATTGTAGAATCTAAATAATTTCTTAACCCCTTTCCTCTCCTTCATAACTGAAATTAATCCAGGGGAATTATCAGACAAATCTGGTTGAAGGAATTCAATTTGACTGGCAGAAGAATGAAGAATCCACTGCTCATGCACCAACGTTCTATCCGACGTACACCATATCCTATCCTCCTCATCCTATTTGTCTATCCATGTGAAAAAACATCCAATGGTTTTCAACTGCAAGAGATGACATTCTTCCACACGTTTTTAATCCCCTGATATCATGTTCAGTAATAGTTGATCCCCCACAATTCTCATATTGACTGAGCACATTATTAAAATCTCCACATATAATCGAAGGTTGATAAACAGTGCTGCTAAAAGAAGAAATATTCATCCAAAGAATGTCCTCTGCTCTAGCTGAATCAAACCATAAACAAAAGAGCCTAAACATTTCACCTTCCCATTTGTGGACATAGTAGAACGTGTTATCCATTGCTCACTACAGCTAATCAAATCAACATCCATAACCTGTTTATCCCAAATAACCCATATTATTCAATTTTATGCATTAGCATAATTGTGAGTCCATCCCCGTCCCCTTGCAATTTTATCGATACTAACTTTAGCTTTTCTTATTTTCACCTTTGTTTCCAAAAAAGCTGTGCAGGAGATTCTACATAACTCTTTTTCTTGGATTTTTGCACTACAATAGCATAATTCCTCTCAGACAGAGCACCATGCGCATTTGGAGCAGTGTTTTGCTTACTAGAAGCACTGGTACTAGTGTTAGCATTCGTCTCCACCTGAACTCCTTGAACATTGCTTGTATTCTGCTGATCATCTACTGTTGGCTTCACCTTTGGTACCCATTGCTTTACTGGTTGAGCCTTCTTCCTACAACCATTAGAATCATGTCTAAACACCTTACAACCCTCAACACCATTTTGGTTTATATCCATAGACCACCCTCTGATCGATGAGTAGACCCCTAGGTCCTTGTATTTTTACTGAATCTGGTAAATTTGATGCATTTGAACTTCAATAAGCACCCTAGCATATGACAACCTTTCTGTAAATGCCGTAAGCTTATCTGTGGTGATTGGCTTCCCTATTAAGCTCAAAATTTTGCTAATTCCCTCTGCATGGCTAAGATTAAGTCTCAAATTTGGTAACTGAACCCACATCGGATAAGTATTTGGATTAAAATCATCAATGCCTTCCTCATTCGTCCATTGCCTCAAAAGGGAAGATAGCGATCCAAAGAACCAAGGACCCGCCTCTAGAACTCTACTCCTCTGCTCCTCATTCTCAAAATTTAACAGATAAATACCTGATTTCAGCATTGATATTTGAGGATTACCAAAAATTTTCCACAATTTAAGCACATAATTTTCCATTTTCTTACAGCGTACATTTAACCTCAGAACACTACCAATTAATGCATCTTACCGTAAGTGGTCTCCTTCATCCCACTCTTCATCAATAAATGCAACTAAATCAGGAGTATTTGTCAGATAAAATCCAGAGATAAAGCTTTACCTGCAACCCTGTTAAGAGAAAAGACGTTACCATGATTTATTAGCCATAGGTACCTCTTTCATCTCAATAGACTCCTCTGCTAATTCCTCATTCAGCTCCTCACCAGCTGCTTCCTGCTCAGCAGTCTCATCCTCTTGAGGCACCCCGGAAGATCATCATGTTCAGAGGCCAACCCTCGGTGTGGATACTAGCGTGATCCATTCGAATCCCAGTTTCAGCATCATTGCCATCAACCTCATCTGCCCATGAGTCCATGACATAGGGCTACGGTTGACCACCGGAGAACCATAGTCCCCCATACGCTCCAAGCTTCTATCATGCAGCACCACCCTTCCCAAGATCTGGGTCATTGGCAATTTCTTTTTAGCTCCATCAGGTCCAGTACTTGACATCACCACAGAACTCGAAGCTCCATCATACTCATCAGGAGCTAGCTCAAATTGCTCCACTGGCGATGAAGCAGTTGATGATCTGGAACCTACTTTTCCAAGTCATTCCACGACGGTGGTGCACGATAGCTAAAATCGCCTTATCTTGTGCCTCTAGAGCACCACCCTGTTTTGAAGATGTGTTACAATCCACATGTAGTTCTTTCCACATAATTAAAGTATAAATCGTTACCCAAGTTTGTGATCAGGCAATCTTAGTAATGCTTATCTCACCTCCATCCAATACATACCAACGAGCTGATATATAACATATGCTTGCCACAATAATTCCATGTGCTTAATGTGCTCTCTGATCGTCCCGTCTCTCGCTCATTGCTATTTTGTGCAGGAACTTGAACTGAAGTCATACATGAATATTGTCAGGTTATCTTCAAATTAATTATATGATAAAAAGGCATGAGACTGATAATCACGGTAAACTGACAATGAATCTACAATGTAACGTTCAAGAGCCAATGCCAATTTGTATACGTTTGATGTTTGGTTTGTTGCAGAATGGATGATGATGATATTATGGTTGAAATTTGTCTTGTATGGATATTCTTGAAGGTATGAGCACAGACTATCGGGATTTTTTTTTTAATGTTAGCACTACAAAAAAGGAAGAAGCCTATGACTCCATTGTGCAACGATGAAGATGGACCGGACAGTAACTTGACAGTTGATATGTACCCCCTTTTTGCTCCTGTTTTTGTAAGATAATATATTAAGTGGCTCCATGGAATTCTGTCGAATTTTAAGAGAGAACATTATTAGTTGATTGCTTCTTTATTCAGGGATTACCAGGTAACAGGTTTTTAGGAACTTTGTGATTGTTAGGAGGATGTCGTTAAGCTTTTGAATCAGGCTTTTGAGTAATCTCATAATCAAGGATTTTCCGATGGCATGTTAGGATTACCTCTCTGCACATGTTTTTCTTTGTGCCTGTGTATGTGCATGCATGCTCATCTGCCCAGTCTCTGCTTTGATTAAATTAAATGTTTTCTTTAATGATACTACTTGCTCCTTATGTGCAAGCCAGTTTTTCTTAATGAAATGCTCACTTAACAATCTTTATCATCATAATTGTTATATAATCTTGCTTTCACTGAGATTTCAGTTAATGCATGAAAAAGTACATAATTCTAGAAATGTGCAGCATAAAGTAGAACATGTTAGATGACAAAAATATTTGTTTCTTTATTTGGTGATTTATAGTCTTCTACTCCATGTAATCAGGCCTGTAAAATACTTGGGAAGATCAGGCTTTCTGACTGTGAAATATATGCATCTTGCGAACCCTGCCCAATGTGCTTCGGTGCAATTTACCTTTCAAAACTCAAGGTGGCTTCTTAAACCTTTTAAATTTCCACAAGGCTTGTAGTAATTCTTCAAGCTCTTTTGAATTTTTTGATCATCTGATATAGTTTTTGTTAATACGAAGCAGAGATTGGTGTATGGAGCCAAGGCTGAGGCAGCGATAGCTATTGGATTCGATGATTTTATCGCTGATGCGCTAAGGGGTACGGGTCATTATCAGAAGGCTCACCTGGAGGTCATACGAGCAGACGGTAATGGAGCTGTGATTGCTGAACAAGTCTTTGAGAAGACCAAGGAGAAATTTAGAATGTACTAAATGCTATAACATCCTCTTCAATTCAAGAATTTACGTTGGTTTTATATGTTCAGAATTTCCAACGCATTTGTGAGGAATAAAAGTAAATACAATTTATATATTTATGTAAAATTGGGATACAAACAACTTGTTATTTCATTGCCTCTTTTCTTTCTTTCACCGTTTTCTGCTTGCTTTGCGTCGTTATTTGATTTTGAATAAAAGCTGAAACTTTAAGGGTCAGTCTTCACATGTGAACAGGGATATCCTCTTTCTGTTGCTGTCTACTTCGGTTTCACAATCTTAATTTTGAGGAGAAGATGGTGAAAAGGAAAGAAAAGTTTGCATTCTTCTTCAAATTTCAAAATACTCCGCGGGAGGATATCTTCTTGGTATATGTTGTTAAATACTTAGCAAATATTTCAAGTCAAGAAAAAGATTTATCAGTCATCAAGAAGCATAGAAGGATATTTTGCTTTGATGGCATAGTTGCGGGCCTCAATTTGTAGAGAGGATAAAGAGAAGACTAAGGTGAGGGGAAGAAGGAAGAACGATGAAAGACTTAATTGTGTCAATCCAACCACTTGTGCTTACTTGTTTGAAAAGTGTAGTAATCTCTTGTGGTCCTTAAGTTTGAAATACTTCTGCAGAAACTACTCATCCTTCCCTTTCATCACCTAACCTTTCACCCCTTCAATTTGCATGCAGACTTGATTACCCATTGAAAGGGAAATGTATTTATTATATTTTGCACCCCCGCACCAAAAAGAGAGAGAGAGAGACAAGCATTATTTTTTTAAAAATTCAGAGTTATTATATTGCATTTGTTTTTCCCTTTTTGATTGTGTCATGTAAAAGAGTTTATGCATGTAGAGACCATTTCCACACGGAAACTAGGCATATTAAGAAATTCAATGAAAGAATTACAAGGATAAATTCAAGTACGAAATTCTACTTGTACGTAAGAATAGAATCAAGTAGAACATGCTAAATGTAGTCAGAAATTTTACATGGTAAAAGTCGGACGAGAAAAGTTTAAATGTGAACCTAAGGAATAGGATAAATTATTTTCCACAAGTGGGCCAAAGAGCAACTCATGCCCTTAGATATGTATACATCCCAACATTATTGGAACGCAGGGTTCCATGCAACCTTAGGATATGTTCACATGGAAAGCTGATGAGGAATCATAGCTTTGAAGGATCGAGTATACTTTATGCTACAACGTACTTAAAAGCTTTGACGTTTCATAAGTATTATAGTATCTGATAGGCATCGTACCTAAGCAAATAACAAAATCAAAGCAATGTATGTTCAATCTTATTTTTCCTAAATAATTATACTCAATGCTCACATATATACAGAAAGGAAGCGTATTGTTCAGTTGTGAAACATCGTTCTGTGATTCTTGCATATTTATCCTTCATATATTTCATAAGACTGGGGGGTTGTTGGATAGCAGGTTCCTAATATGTTTCCTAATTTATTTTGGTAACAGGTTATTGGGATTCCTAATCTGTTTTGGTAACATGTTATTAGGATTCCTAATCTGTTTTTGATTTTGGTTTTAAGATTCCTAGTATGTTTTTGGTTTTAGGATTCTATATATATATATGAAATGTTTTAGAAGAGAAAATGAGCAGCGAATGGGATATTTGGAGCATAGAAAAGAGGTATTTTCTGAGCTATTGGTTAGGGATTTGTTTGGAGAGAATTAGAACTTTGTTGGTGAGATTAATTGGTGAATTTGTGTGATTTTGTAATCTCAGTTTGTACTCTTCTTCTCTATTAGTGAAAACCACATCTCCTTCTTGCCTTGTGGACGTAGGCAACTTGCCGAATCACATTAAAATTTGTTTGTTTGATTTGGTCTCTCGAAGCACATCGGTTTGGTTTTGGCTTCCGCCGCGCACAACAAGTGATATCAGAGCACAATAAGTGGTATTAGAGCACAACAAGTGGTGTCAGAGCTCGGGCTATGTTTGTACTATTTGGAGGAGTAGACCGCTTTGGAAGTTCGTCTAGGGCTTCAGTTGGTGATAAATGTGAGATTTTTCCTATTTGTGAATCTCGTTTCTGTCGTGTGGGGTGAGATCTTTCGGAGACTCTTGTTAGGGTTTCAATTGGAGGTAAAAATATCTCCTTTATCAGTTTGGATCTATTCTTCGTTTGTTCCGCATTGGTTTGTTGGTGCTTTGAGATAGATGACCGAGAAAAAAGGAGTTGAGGCTGAGATTTTGGATTATTGAGAAGTTCCTTGACCTGCATATTGAAGTCTTTTGAGTATATTGGTATGAGTAAGAAGACCGATGTGGAGTTTGACACTTCTATTCGACGGTTGAGGGGTCTTCTAGGTGGTGTTCATTTAAGCATTTGGGGGCCTTCCAAGTAGGCATCATCGGAAGGTAATCGATATTTGGTTTCCTATGTTGGGGATTATACTAGGCATTTGTGGGTTGTAACCAAGTGTCGTTGGTTTGAAGTCCTAGTAGTCAACAACGGTTGGAGGAAGTGTATTGTCAGAAAGGAAATTCGTTGTTTTGATTTTAGTAGGGGCTCTTTTTTGCATTTGTACCGAGCTCGTGACAGTTTGAGACACTTCATTGGAGAGGAAACATTGGGGCAACGAGATGGGATGACATTTTTGATGGGTCGTTCCTTGCTGGAGGAGGATCGGCGTTGGTTGTCGAGCATTAGATTGCAGAGGAGTTTTGGAGCTTCGACATATTTGGGTCATCTTAGTCATAAGTTGCTGACTGCTGCGTTTAGAGATTTTAGACCTCGTAGAGCTGCTTTAGATTTTGGGTTGCGTCGGATGTTTGGTTGCCTAGCATTTGGTCACATCGAGGATGTGAGATTTGATCCGATTGCACATTTAGGATTTAGAGGCTCGTTTGGTTATCAGTTGGGAGACTCTGATTTGGTTCTAAGCAGGTATGTCACTTTTGACTCTCGGCAGGTGGAGAGTGTTGATCAGGTCGTTGGGATATCACAACGGGTGGAGGGTGATGCTACTCCACGTTGGGTGGAGTTTACTCCATATACTCCAGATCATACTACATCATTTATAATTTCAGCTGAGGTGACACAGTTTAGGGATCATTTAGATTTGGATGCAGATGATGAGTTGGTTGATTCGAGTGCGGCTGGTGGACATAGTTTCGATTTGGATATGGTCATTGGTTCATTTCAGATGAAGGTGTTTAGTTTTTTTTTTTTGCCATTGGGAGAGCTATCAGTTACAGATTTGTTGGTGATGTTGGTGGAGAGTTGAGAACTTTTCTATTGGATTGAAGGCATTTGGGGGCTATTAGGGGAACTACGTGAAAGCTTGATTCCTTGGGCAAAAAGATACGTAGGCAGTCATTTATGATGCAGCCGATTTGGTGAGTAGATACCGGCGTTTGGAGAGTGGTCACATTCTCGTTTGGGTCTCGATTTGTTGTGGATTGAGTCCATTGTTGTGATTTTGTTTCACTTCGTACTGGACGCAACAAGTGAGACATTTGTTTGGTGTTGGCGTCGGCTCAGTTTTGGGAAAACTTCGTCGAGGTGGAGAATTGTTAGATAGCAGGTTCCTAATATGTTTCCTAATTTATTTTGGTAACATGTTATTGAGATTCCTAATATGTTTTGGTAATAGGTTATTGAGATTCCTAATCTGTTTTGGTAACAGGTTATTAGGATTCCTAATCTATTTTGATTTTGGTTTTAAAATTCCTAGTATGTTTTTGGTTTTAGGATTTCTATATATACGGAACGTTTTAGAAAAAAAATGAGCAGCGAAGGGGATATTTGGAGCACAGAAAAGAGTTATTTTCGGAGCTATTGGTTAGGGTTTTGTTTGTAGAGAATTAGAGCTTTGTTGGTGAGACTAATTGGTGAGTTTGTGTGATTTTGTAATCTCAATTTGTACTCTTCTTTTCTATTAGTGAAAACCACATTCCCTTCTTGCCCGTATACGTAGGTAACTTGTCGAACCACGTTAAAATTTGTTTGTTTGATTTGGTCTCTCGAAGCACATCGGTTTGGTTTTAACTTCCGTCGCGCACAACAAGTGGTATCAGAGCACAACAAGTGATATTAGAGCACAACAGGGTTGAGAAAGACAAACAATGATGTATCATGTGTATCCTTTTTTTTTTATTTTCTTCCCTCGACTGAACATGTGTATCCTATGTCCAATGACTGAATCCAATCATGGATTGATATTGACCCAAAGAGAGAAGCAATAAGATCTCCAAAAATATTATTGACAATCCGAAAATCTATATTTATCTATTTCCATCTTTCTTTCTTTTGTTAATTTCTTGTCGCTTCATGTTGACTAGTGGACATGATACATTGAATTTTTTTTAGAAGGATTTGTTACGTTCTGAATATTCAAAGAATAAAAAGTAAAAAAAAAAAGGCTATGTACGTAAGTAATTGGTCTGAGCGGACAGGGGCGTGCCTAGAATTTCAAAGAAATTGTAAGCAATTGATGGTCAAGAAACAACAGGTCAATGAGAATTCTATGACAAGAAAGAGAGTAAGCCCACAGGGTGGTGGTGTGGGTCTAACGAGACATTAACATCTTAGACACCAAAGCCCTGCATAGATACAAAGAAGAGATCAAGTTTTAACAAAAATCTACAAAGATCCCCATTAATAGAGCATCATCTAGAAAGCCACTCTCATCAAACTTGATTGTATATGTTACTATCGATTATCAACGCAATTTGATTGTTTATTTCTTTTCATTATTTGCATCGATAGATCTGATTGTATTGATATTTGACAATGATTTGTGCATTAAGATTTCTGTTAGATATAGTATGATTAGTGATTATCTCTATCATCGTGTATGATTTTTCAACTGAACTAGGGCCACCAACAGGAATTTTGTCGGAGGCCAAAGGCCGAAGGGAAATAAAAGCCAAAGCAAAAGCCCTGGCGAGTCCAAGTCTTCAACCAACCAGCCAATGGAAAACGAAATAACACCACCCAATTCAATGAGCCTTCAAATTAGTCACAAACTTAGAAATTTAGCTCAATATCATAACTTTTTAATTCCTGAAGGGTCTCTCCCATTTCAACGCCGTAAGACAAGAGAGAAAAAAGACAACATTTGGGCCCCACAAATGGAGGCTTTTTCTTTGTTTCTGGAATCCCTATCTTAAAGTTAAGACTCAAGCTAC